TGCTGTTGTTGTATTGTGTTACAGATTATGTACCCTGAAGCATTTCCTTATCATATTTATGTATTTGATTGGTAAATGTATGTTGTGCAAACAGTCACTCTAATCTTGCATCTGTTTGATGGGATCAGCATTTGTTTGTCTTTCCCTCTGAGCCCTTGTCTTAACTGTTCATTTTCTTAGGGTTTTTCTATGTCTCTTATGCTATTTGCCTTTTCTCATTTATGATGTTTTTTTCTTGACAATAATTGATTCACTTATGGTGTTTCTTGAGGACAGGTGTCATTGGAGTTCTGGTGGATAGTGCAAGACCAATTGATGCAATTAACTTGGCCTACGCGTTTGGACTCACTGAACAGTTTGAGCCAGTGCAATTGCTGAAAGCATATCTGAGGGAGGTCAAGAAGGTGTCACATGCCAAGAATGGAAAAATGTCTCCTGGAGCACAGGTGTGCTTCTAGCTATTTCAGCAAAAGCAAATGATGTCTATCATGCATTTTTTTGCTGCAATAATACAATAAACTGTGCCTGCACTTCCACCAAATCACCAATTATTGAAGTGGACATGGGTTGTTTTTTTGTGTTTTCTTCCTTTTGAAGTCTGATTAACAATTCTGCTATCTAACCAAAGTTGCTCACCCATCATGCTATGTTACTCAGGATATTTTTAAATAGCTGTGCTACGCAGATACCGTCAGTTTATTTGTAAGGGAAGGGCTTTGTTTTCATCTTGCTTAATTGTTCTATGATGAGACAAAGCCACTTGCATTTTTGGCTTTATTAGAGATCTACTCCCTCCGTTCCCAAATATTTGTCTTTCTAGACATTTCAAATGGTTACAACATACGAATGTATGTAGACATATTTTAGAGTGTAGATTCACTCATTTTGCTTCGTATGTGGTCATTTGTTGAAATCGCTAGGAAGACAAATATTTGGGAACGGAGGGAGTAATTACTATTACCAGACATCTGTTACTAACTACCTTCTATCTGTTTGCATCCAGTGATTTCAAGTTGTTAGTGGTGTAGTGGTTCAAAATTGTATTATTGTTTACTTATAAGTAGTCCTTAAATAGATCTGTATTGGATTTGATGACGCACAGAGGTGAAAATTGTCCATTCACCTGATGTCAGGAGCTTGAGGTAGGTTGTGGAGAAGTAGAATAATAGAGGGATATCTTAGCTTGCAAGCAATATAAAGTTAGTTGCCTCTTGCTTTTCGCTGTATGACACTGAATAATATACAAACTTTTTGCTGTTAGGCTTCTATGGTTCAGATTGTCAGGGAGCTCCTCGATTGTTTGCATCCTGTGATTTTAAGTTATTAGTGGTGTAGTGGTTCGAAATTCAATTAATACTTTACTTAAAGTAGTCCTTAAATAGATCAGTATTGGATTTGATGATGCACAGAGGTGAAATTTATCCATTCACCTGATTTCAGGAGGGATATCTTAAGCAATATAAAATTAGTTGCCTGTTGCTTTTCGCTGTTTGGCACTGAATATTATATATAAACTTTCTAGAGCGGCTGGGTTGCCCATTGGCCTTTTCATGTCGGCATATGTGTGTAAACATGTTATCTGCATCTATCTAGTACACTTGATACAATCTGTTGGATAACAGCCATTCCCTTTTCAGAATGAGATGAATGAGCGTGAGCTGTCTGCACTGAAAGCTGTGATCAAGTGCGTCGAGGAGCACAAACTGGAGGAGCAATATCCGGTGGACCCACTTCAGAAAAGGGTGATTCAGCTGGAGAAGGCCAAGGCAGACAAGAGGAGGGCTGTCGAAGCCGCCAAGCCACAGTCCAAGAGGCCGCGTGCCAACGGATCGCTCTATGCACCCCGTGTCACCAGCTTCCCCGAGAAGAGCTTCTACCAGGCAACACCAGAGAGGCACCCATACCCTTACGAAAGGCAGTTTGTGTACGGCGCCGAGGCCCACCACCACCCTACGATGATGAACGCGGCTCCCTACACCATCTCACCCGCCCACACGCCGTACTACGGTAATGGCTACCCGGTGCAGTACCAGGTACCTTATATCCACTAATGGGGGAGAGCTACAATGGCTCTTCCCTAACACTATCCCTAGCTTTTAACCTTCCGCTGTTGTTGTAGTTGTACCAAGTCATCTAGCTAGTTTGCCTAGCTGAAAATAGTTGGACCACTCGCTTGTGTGTGTGCTATGAGTGGCTATTGTGAGAATCTGTTAATTTTATGTCACGACTTATGACATAATTTACTTCTAATGTCTAGTTGTTTTAATCAACGTATCTTCTTCGTACGCTGATATATGCTTTGTCTATACGGCGATGAGTCTGCTTCTCGGTCGTGGTTGCAACCAATGTGGAGCTCATCTTTACTGTTCTTTCGTCATTGCGGTGCTTCATCCATGGAGATCAGGAACTGCAGGTAACCGAACCTTTCGTCATTGCGGTGCTTCATCCATGGAGCTCAGGAACTGCAGGTAACCGAACATAAGACGTCGTGATATGTGATCAGTTTTGGAGAGGCAGGTAACTAAGCATAGCGGTGGGCTTGCTGTCAATGAATTGCTATGTTTACACGGTACCAGCTGAAAGCCCAGCCTACGACTATAGTTGCTACAAACGCCACATAAGGGAAGTGATTTCTATTTAAATTTCGAGCCCTTCTGCTTACTCGCTCCGTTGAGGGACATTACAAATAGTCTTCCAAGACGAGGATACGGCAGTGCTCTTGGTGACGGTGTCCCCGATCAGGGACTTGCGCGAAGCCAGTCACAACGATAGTCAGCAAAGAACACTCGTGTGGTTTATGCGGTTTTGATTTCTTTTTTTGAAATCTATGCGGGCTTAAACCCTTGCTCACAGGCAAATAGGGGACTGCCATAGCCGCGATTTTAGGCCTGCTAGATTCAACCGACTGATTTCTTATTCTTGGAAAATGAGTCGGATCGCTCGTGCGCCACGTTGTCTCGTGGTTTCAGATCGAGCCCATTCCCTTTCTCTCTTCTCATGCACTTCCCTATCGAGATGCGGCGTGGCCGCCGCCGGCTGC